CGATGAAGGATGCTCAAAATTATTAGATCAAAGAAAGCAGGTCAAACTGCAATGGTTACAGGATCCAAGCAAGTTAAATGGGGATAATCTGAACAATATAAGACGTGTAACCAGCAGGCATTTCAGGAACAAAGAGAGGGAATATCTGAAAGACAAAATTGATGAGCTTGCAATGAACAGTAAGAAGAAGGACATTAGAGACATGTATAGAGAAATAAATGACTTTAAGAGGGGTTACCAGCCTAGCAGTAACTTAGTGAAGGATAAGAATGGTGATTGCTTGCAGATTCCCACATTTTGAACAGGTGGAGGAACTACTTCTCTCAGTTATTGAATGTACATAGGGTCAGTGATGTTAGGCAGACAGAAATCGATACAGCTGAGACGTTAATACTTGATCCTGGCCCTTTTGAGGTTGAAAGTGCTATTGCAAAATTGAAACGGTATAAATCGCCAGGTAGTGATCAAATTCTGGCAGAACTTATTCAAGCAGGAGGCGAAATATTACATTCTAAGATCCACAATCTAATTACTTCTATTTGGCATAAGGAAAAATTGCCTGATCAGTGGAAGGAGTGTATTATTGTACCAGGGTGATAAAACTGACTGTAGTAATTATCGAGGGATATCATTGTTATCAACTTCATACAACATTTTATCCAATATTTTTCTCATAAAGTTAAGTCCATACATAGATGAAATTAATGGGGATCATCAGTGTGGGTTTTGACGTAACAGATCAACTACTGATCAGATCTTTTGCATTTGTCAGATACTGGAAAAAAATGAGAGTACAGTGAGACAGTACATCAGCTATTTGTAGACTTCAAGAAAGCCTGTGATTCAGTTAGGAGGGAAGTGTTGAACAATATTCTGTTAGAGTTTGGGGTAGCCATGAAACCAGTTAGGCTGATTAAAATGTNCAGATTAAATTGTGTTTAAACGAAATGTATACAAAAGTCTGTGTAGGTAAACATTTGTCTGATAAATTTCCTATCCAGAATGGTCTAAAACAAAGAGAATCTTTATCGCCACTACTTTTCAACTTTGCTTTAGAATATGCCATTAGGTAGGTCCAGGGAAACCAGGTGAGACTGAAATTAAACGGGACACATCAGCTGTTGGTCTAGGCTGATGATGTGAATATACTGGGTGATAATGTAGATACCATAAAGAACTACACACAAACTTTAATTGACGATAGTAAAGAGGTTGGTCTAGAAGTAAACTCTGAGAAAACTAAGTCCATATGCTGCTGTCTCGTCACGAAAATGCGGGGCAAAATCATGATATACAAATATAAATAGGAATCAGATGTTTTGAAAATATGGCACAATTCAAATATTTGGGAACAACGATAACAGATCGAAACTCCCTCAGGAGGTAATTAAGAGGAGATTGAACCCGGAAATGCTTGCTACCATTTAGTCCAGAACCTTTTGACTTCTTGTCTGCTGTCCAAAAACATAAAAATTAGAATATACAAAACTATAATTTTGCCTGTGGTTCTGTGTGGGTGTGAAACTTGGTTTCTGACATTAAGGGATGAACATAAACTTAGGGATTTTGAGAACAGGGTGTTGAGGAGAATATTTAGACCGAAGAGAGATGAAGTGACAGGAGGTTGGAGACGACTGCATAATGAGGAGCTTCATAACTTGTACTCTTCTCCAAGTATAATTAGAATGATCAAGTCAAGGAGGATGAGGTGGGCAGGGCATGTAGCATGAATGGGGGAGATGACGCATGGATGTGGGATATTGGCGGGAAAGCCAGAAGGAAAGTGTCCACTGGGAAGACCAAGGCGTAGGTGGTGGACAATATTAAAATGGATTTTACTGAGATAGGATGGGGTGGTATGAATTGCATTGATCTGGCCCAGGATAGGGACCAGTGGAGGGCTCTTGTGAGCATGGTAATGATCCTTCGTGTTCCATAAAATGCTGGGAAATACTTGAGTAGCTTAAGAATTCGCAGCTGCTCCAGACAGGGTCAGTTCCATGAGTAGGGGCTCTGCGACTTTCAGACAAATATAATACAATAGTTGTATTAGTACATATAAATGGATGTATTGTAATTTTGTGTTATCCATTCCCTTGGTCTTTGCGCAACTTTATATTAATGTTCACACGTCTTCGTTCGTTTATTATACCACACTACATTTTTCGGCCTCACTAGCCATAATCATGTGTATAAGCTGTATATCGAACGAATTTGCTGCTCTGTTATACGCAATTTTTCATGAATTCGCTTTGAATCATTTGAATAATTCAAATATTTCGCGTCATAAAACTTGCCGTTGTGTGATTGGTATAGATCGTACAGATAGTACAAGTGATCCGAACAGATGGCAGGAGTGGTCTGCGCAGATGAAGATTTCTCATGTTTGCGACGATGTCCGTTGAGGTGGTTGTACTTGTTTTAAGTCTTTCAGAGAGTGTGGCTTTGGTGGTTGAAGTCTGTGAAGATTTAAATAATCATGTATGGGAAGCGTAGAGAGTTTGACTTTCCCAGCTGCGAGGACGGTACTAAATATGAAGTATTGGAGAAAATAGGAGAAGGCAGTTATGGGTAAGTTATTGAGGAAATATTACGTTTTGTATTTTCTGTGTGTTGGTGTTCTTTAGTTTAATGTTCAAGGGCTGGCTGGCTTCTCATTCAGTAAAAGCATACGATTAAATAAATTTCCAGAGTGGATCGTTAATAATACTGCATTAATA